GGTGTGGGTGTGAGTACACAGTTCAGCTTATATTCACACACACACCTACATCCTCACCCTCACCCAGCCTATACTCGCTATTGGTTATCATATAAAAAAGAAGTAAACATAAAATTTATTGAAAACACATTCAGTCATCTATTTAGATATTTTTAAATGCCGAGAACATCGATGTTTGCTTTATTTCCTAGCGAAATACTTCACGAAATATTTCAATATTTAACAACTTATGATACTCTCTATGCATTTAAAGGGATTAATCGACGTATCGATACACTTCTATGTAATTCTATCGAATGTGATCTGAATTTTAAATCCATGCCAAAATCGAAATTCGATTTTATTTGTCAATCGATATCTCCCGAACAAATTCGATCATTAATATTATCTGATGATAATGATACAGTTCGACAAATTCATTTATTCTTTCGATCATTCTATATTCGACGATGTGTTAATCTAAAGTTATTAGCATTACATCACATCAATGACCAAGATTGGAAGAAAATTGCTGCCAAACTTCATTATCTATCAAATTTAACTTCTCTCTCACTCAAATCTTCCAATCATTTATCACCAATCATTGTAGAATCATCATTAAAGTCCTTGACTTTAGGTATCTGTACGATGAATGAACTGCATGAATGGTTATTATGTACGCCAATGTTATTAGATTTAGAAGTTCAGTTAATTGCTTATCGATCACCAATCAATAAAAGTTTTCGTTCAAATCCAATTGCATCGAATATTCGTAGATTAAAAGTCATATTTCCTGAAAGATTCAATACGCCAGATTTTGATCTTGAGGCCTTATTTGTCTCTATGTCAAAATTAGAAATCTTGACATGTATTATAAAAACAGAAGTCAATTTGCCTCATGGTATTCGATGGGACAATCTTATTGAAAAGCATTTATCTCAATTGAAAGATTTTCGTCTTAAATATCATTCAAATGGTCATGGATCTGGTATCGTCGACCGTCAATCATCCTTTTGGGTATATGAGCATCAATGGTTCATTTATAAAGATAGTTATGAACGTAGTAGAGGTGAATGTTCTTCTGAAAATGATGTTCATTTATATACACTACCATATAGTGATGAAGAATTTTATTTAAGTACAGCAACTGAACAATCAGATAAAACTCAAAAAGATGCATATGAAACAATAAAACATTTATATTTAGATATTAATTCGGTGTCTTATTCACATCTTATTGAACATTATTATTTTCCTAGTCTTGATTCATTAAGAATTTATAATCGATGTGTATTAATACCATTAATTGGTTTCATTAATCTTTCTCAAATTAAACATTTAACTATCGAACGAGATAACTCAATAAATTCCAAGGAATTTTTTTCGCTAATTTTAATGCATTGTATTAATCTTCATTCATTGAAAGTATCTTGGCTTACATTGACAGAAATAACTCAAGATTTTACAGATCGACAAATATGTTCAATTCTAAAAAGACAAATTAAATATTTACATATACATAATATTTTTCGTAAAACTGATAAAAACAATGGTTCACCAATTGAACATCTTATTGAAATATTTGCTAAAAATCTCGAGAAAATAAATTTACATGTCATATATTTTAATGATGTTCTATTACTATTAGAAAATATGTCAAAACTTTATAGTGCTGTGATAGAATATAATCCAACTAATATGGCAATTCATGATGATGATTTGGTAAATTGGTTAAGAGAAAAAATTCCACGATTGAAGAATTCTACTTATAAAAATCAATTAATCAACAAAGAACAAGGCTTTCTATATCTTTGGATTGGTCATTGATAGAAGATGTTATCGTCGGTTATAACCTTCTTCCACATCAACTTGACTCAATATGAATTATACAAGGAAAGATCAATTACATATCCCAATTTACCAGTACGCGAATCATCCCGTTTTCTTTTCCTTTGTGATCATGGATGATGTCATAACATAAAAGATAACATTTTTCTCTTGAATAAAATAATTCAACCGACAAAGAGGGTAAGAAAAGTTCAAAATAAGCATCTATAACCAGGATGAAATTAAGAAATGATTGAAAAGGGTGTGGGTGTGGGTGTGAACGTTGTCTCTTTATCAACATCCACACCCTCAATATGTTCATCTGAATGTGTTAAACATTTATCAATCAGAGGTGCTTTTTTTCGTTGTATAGCAGCTGTATTTACTAAAATACTAGCTCGTCTAACATCATTCAAATTCGTTTTCCACATTTGAGCATATTCTGCAATTAATGGAGCACCACCTCTTTGCAAAATCTCATTAAAACGATGATCATTATAAATTAATTCAATAATTTCCATCGCTGTTTTATCACCAACTTCATTATTCAAACGATCGACGATATCTTTAACATGAATACAATTCACTGCTGCCATAGCTAAACCTTCAATAAAATTTTCAAAATTTCCTTGATATTTTTCATTATCCAATTCATTTTCAAAAAATTCTAAATAATTATGATAATAATAATCGTTACCTAAACATTTTTCTGCGTCAAAATCATGTTTCTGATCAAGTGAAACTAACGGATGCTGTTTTTTTTATTGTTCATAGATAAGTTTCAATGTATCAGATGATTTGCAGTATCATTATGAAAAACACCTAGGATAAAGAGAAAAACATGATGAGTTTCATGATTCTTTTGAAGTAGACCAGAACAAGTTTGAATCGTTTCAGAATTGATACCAGGTAATAAATATATTGTATGAGCATCAAAACATCAACATGTACCGTGTATTTTTATCTTCTTCATAGTTCTTTTCTTTATGCGTTTGTGTATATTTCGTTGCTGCTCAACCACGTGCATATATCGTCAAGAATATATTTCTTTCTTTTCTTTTTCTTTCTCCATGTGACAACATACCACGTTTGCCTTTGCGACATCTTAAAAGTAAAAGAGTAATTCCTTTTTCATTCAAATAAATTTTAACGATCGACCTTCTCTCCGTATATCTTTCAATTATTTCTCGAAAATTATTTAATTTCATTTCTAAATCATAGACAAAAAAGCGATTAAATAAAAGAAAATGTTTTTTTCATATGTTATGATTAGTAGAATATATGTCTAATCAGTATGTGGATATTCGATGTATACAATTTTGTCAATGTAACATGGCTTTGATACATCATTGACTTCATCGAAATATTTCACACTCGTTGCAATTAATGTTGCTGGTTTAGTTAAATCCCATTCAATAGTACGATAACCAGATTCTGATTGATCACTATATCGATAATAAGACCATGAATGATACAGTTTTTCATCTGTTTCAACTGGTAACATGGTTTGTAAACTGATTATTCGATATGTCGTACTAAAGGCATGTTCTCCTTCATCATATACAGCACCATATTGATACTTGATTAAAACATATCTATAATTAGGACTTTGAATAAAACTTAATCGTGCTTGTCTTGGTTTATCATAGATACTGATAAATATTTTGTCATCAAATGGTAAATTTTTATCTGTATAACAATACATTCGCTGTAGTTCAATAAATTTATCAAACCAATATTTATATTCATTTCGTTGAGATTCATTTTTTGTATCATCATATAGTATTTCTTCAAGTTCAGGTTTTACTCGATGCATAAGAATTGAATGATAACAAAAATGACATGTACTTCCTAGAATATCATATTCAGGAATAAAATATTTATTACATTGACACGTTCCCGATGAGTTATCTTCCTGAGGAATACCAGTACACATAATAACTTTTGATCCGGAATCTTCAACATGAAGATCAATTTGATCACCATTACGGACAGGTTGACAAATAATACCATTTTGTTTCATTATATTGAACAGTCGATTACAATAAGTAACAGAAGCTATGTCAGTTTGTTTATGTAATTGAGTACTTTGAACCGATGGAATAAAACTATCTTCAACTGTTTGAGGATTGTAAGCATCTATTTTTGTTTGAGTTTCCATCTTCTTGAAAATAATCTTTGCTTTTAGTTTAGAGTCACTGCTTGCAGAATGACCAACTGGTTTATTATTTTTAATATTACCTTGCGAAGCCATAACTTGAATGGTAGATATGTAAACTTCGCTTACGATGTGTGCACAAATGGAAAAAGTATTACATGTGACACCGACAAACGATGTAAACAACTTTTTTTTTGTTGTTTTTTTCCAATAGAAACAGAAAAAAAACTTTCAGCGACACTTGTGACGCATGCACAACGCTATTTGAACGTGGGATGTGGGTATGGATGTGGGTAAGATAAATTTGATACACCTACACACAAACCTACATCCTCACACTCGTAAAGTCAGTCATAACATAAACAAATAGGTGGATAAAAAAGATGACTCACCGATAAGAGAACGTGGGTGATATGACGAGATACTTGAGACAAGTGATGCAATTACAGTATGACTACCTTTCATGTATATAAACAAGAAGCGTTTTTTATCTTCGATTTCATTCTCTGTATCGTTAGTGTAAAAAGGAAGTAACTCTTTTTTCATCAATGTCGTTAAATAGTACAGTCGATGATTGCTCAATTTGTTTAAATGGTTTGCTGCCAGGTGCTCCTCTTTTAACATTGTCATGTAATCACAAGTTTCATTTTGACTGTTTGTTATCGCATGTTAAAGCACAAAATAAGGAGTGTCCCCTGTGCCGAGCAACCATCGATACATCACTCATTGAACTATTAAAAAATCCTAATAAGATGTTTTTACCATATCAAACACCACAACCTGTTATTGTAAGTTTTATCTTATGTATAAAGAGTCTCTTATTAAAAAAAATTTCTTTTAGGTTATTCCATCAGTAGAAGATCTAGTCGATGAAGAGGCTGTACGAACACTTTCTACGAGTCTAACGTCGGCGCAACAAGCTACCGCTTCCTCAAATTCTACAGACACATTACCAAGCATTACGGCTACAACAACATTAGAATTTGCTGGTCAGCCATCAGATCAAGAAGCTAATATCTATGGATTAGTCACTGTGAACGCACCTTCAATCTTTTCATCATCATCATTCTCTCGCGTACCTATTGATCTCGTTTGTGTTGTTGATACAAGTGGATCGATGCAAGGTGGAAAAATCACTTTATTGAAACAAACTTTAATCTACATTGTTGATCAACTCAATGAACTCGATCGATTGGCTATTATTTCATTTAATACAACAGCTTTCAATTATTCTCACGGTCTCAAACGTCTCAATCAACAGAAGTAATTTTTTTAATTAAAATTTATATAAGGTAATACGTAATTGTTTTTATTTAGTAAGGAGATGTTGAAAAAGTCGATTACTGAAAATATCAAGGCTAGTGGTGGTACTTTTATTGGATGTGGATTAAGTATGGGCATTGAATTGTTCACTAATCGTCAAACAAAGAATCCAGTTGGTGGTTTACTTTTACTTACCGATGGGCAGGACAATCAAGTTCATGATTATTCAAATTTAATGAACACATTACCTGAAGGTGTACTTGCTCACTCATTTGGTTATGGGCCTGATCATACAGCGGGTCTACTTGTACAACTGGCAGAACAAGGCAACGGAGGCACTTTTACTTATATAGTGAGTTAAACATAAGTTTTTTCAGATTTAAATAATAAAGTATTGAATAGAATGAAGAAGAAGCTGTCGGTCCAGCATTTGCGATGACGCTTGGTAGTCTTTTTTCATGTATAGCACAACAAATTTGTGTCAACATTGAATTCAATGGTGAATACAAAATAACTAATATTCATTCGAAATATAAATACGAACCAGAAAAACTTCCTTCATCAATGATCAGTTTTAAATTGAATGATCTCAATAGTGAAGAACGACGAAATCTCGTTTTCCAATTATATATACCTAAAATACACGATCAAGAAGAACATCAGATTGGTAAGTAATTTCTTTTAAATTCATAGATATCTTCTTCAGTCTAAATCTGAAATTTGATTTAAGGTCATGTATCGATCACCTATTTGGATCCTCGTAGTGGTCTAACATTAACAACCAATTCTGTTCCCTTTGAACTTATTCGAGTTCCTCAACCATCGCCCGAACTACTTGAAGTCAATTACACACTTGATCTTCAACGAAATCGAGTAGAAACAGCACTTGTCTTAAAACAAGCAATGGAAGAAAATAACTATGAACAATCGATAAAGTTGCTCAATGATCAAATTGAAAAATTAAAGAAAACTGTATCGTCGAAAGATCCATTTTGTCAACAATTAATCAAAGATCTTGAACATCGTTTTCAATCGGAACGTGACTATCGTTCAACACATCACAATACTTATATGCAACATTCAAGTGAACGAGGTACATGGAGTTCTACGGCTAATACCAGTACAACACAATATACTACCATATCGCAAACAACTCAAGCCGAACGCTTTCGAGATTCACAATCTCTTAAATTACAAGAAAAGGTTAGTGGAAAGGAATAAAAATAGCTCATGCTATTCTTCATTTAGAGTGACAATTCGTTGGATTTAATTTTGTGTAAAGTGATGCGTGTCCCTGAATATGTTCTCGGAAAAATTACAGTTGCTGTAAGTTGACTATATATCGAAAATTATTAATTGTTAATCAATCTTGTACGTTTTTATCAGGTTCTACGTAGTCTGAGCTCTTTGAACAAGGATTATCGATATAATTTAGAGCTTAAACCATCGAATATTTTGATTAACCATCTAGGTAATACGTCGTACATGGCTTTGCTTTTTATGACTGATTTTCTTTTCTAGGTGAGATCAAAATACGCAATTTTGATGTAAGTAAACGATTCATGGCTTCGTATGATGATAGCCGTTGTTACATGTCGGTTAGTATTTTTTATTCTATTGTTTGTATATTAATTGATTGATCTATAGCCTGAACACCTCGAAGGTACACCTAAAGGAAAAATGGATGATATTTGGGCACTTGGTTTGTCACTTGTCGAAATGGCTGTAGGTCGATATCCAATTCCATCACCAACATCAGACGATATTGATATATTATTCAAAGAAGATCCACATGGAAATCTGCCACGAGTCGAAGGTTAATTAATTGACTGTTTATGTTATTGTTGCGAAGAGGATTTTTGTTATTTCAGGACATATATCTCATAAAGAATTGTGTATGTTCGAAATGATGGAATGGATTGTTAATGAACCACCACCCAGTCTTCCACAAACACATTTTTCTCCGGAATTTTGTGATTTTATTGATTTCAGCTTGAAAAAGAATATAACAGAACGAGCTGATTTAAATACGCTCTTAGTAAGTGTTTTCTCTTTTTCTTGCACAACATATTTTCTTGTTGTTTTCAGAATCATCCGTTCTATAAACAACATGAACTAGAGAGTCAGAATCAAGAAGTCGTTGCGTGGATAGAACAAATATGTCAACCTGATTTCGTCAAAAGACGACGCAGTAATGGTGGCACTAGTAGCAGCACATAAGTTGAACTGAGGAGCGAGTAACATGTATGATCTTTTGTTCATTTTCTATGTTTTTTTAACTGAAAAAATAAACAAATAAACTAAGAACAAACCAAAATATAACATTCTGGTGTGCATGTGGGTATCGGTTCATATTGTATTCAACCACATCCTCGTATTCCTTCCATTCTTAATATAATGTTATATTAGCACACGCGTGTCTGAGGGTTGTTGTGCAACATGAATTATCTTATTCAAAGGTAGCTTGTGACTTTATCAGCAACGCAAAGAAGATGACAGATAAATTCTTTGTTATTTATAAAAAAAGAAGAGGTAAGAAAGGGTGGGTGGGTGTGTGTGGGTGGGTGTGGGTGTGGGTGGGTGTGGGTGTGGGTGTGGGTGTGGGTGTGGGTGTGGGTGTGAGGGTGTGGGTGTGGGTGTGGGTGTGGGTGTGGTGAGGGTGTGGGTATGGGTGTGGTGAGGGCATGGGTGTGGGTGTGGTGAGGGTGTGGGTGTGGTGAGGGTGTGGGTGTGGTGAGGGTGTGGGTGTGGTGAGGGTGTGGGTGTGGGTGTGGTGAGGGTGTGGGTGTGGGTGTGGTGAGGGTGTGAGTTAAGAGACGATAAATATTAACACCCACACCCACACCAATAAAGTCGATAAAATTGGACAAGTATAATTGCTAATACTATGTATAGCCATTTAAAGTAAACCTGAATATATAGAAAATAGATTTCGAATGTAAAATATTTTTTTATTATTTGAGCAGTCATCCTATTCCGCAATGTTGAACATTTCAGGAACCAGTTCCGCTCCGGAATCGATTCCGTTCAATTCCGGGAACTCGATCGACACATAATATCCGATATCCACTCGAAAATTGATCGAGTTCCGTATAATTCCGGAATCAGTAGGAATTGGCGGGAATTGGTAGGAATTCCGTGTAATTCCGTAATTAGA